GGCCAATAACGCCTATATTTATAAAGGATTTTGAAGAAGGGCTGAGGCTTCCTGCAGCTTCATCTGTGAAAAGAATTCGGGTGGACACACCCATTCCCATAGCGCTGCACATCACATCCGAACCAGTTCCGTTATTTTACAACGTTTCGGCACTTAGCCATCGTCAGGTAATAACAATGAATACCGTGGAAGCCACACAAGAGCAGTAAATACGCAGAGTGTAGCGCCAAAAAGGATGCGAATTATGTCACCTAGTATGCAGAAGGGGGGGACAGAGAGAGAGAAAAGGCGCAACTAGCACATCACGGAGGAGAAGCAGCAGAAGGTAGCGCGCATTGTGCTGTGAATGGCGTTACGCAGAGTGTAGCGCCAAAAAATAAAATGATGCGAGTTATGTCACCTCTATACAGAGGGGGGGGGGGAGAGAGAAGGTGCAACTGTGCACATCACGGAGAAGAGGAGCGCGCCGTTGTGCTCTACGAAGTGAGGGTACATGCCAAATAATTATGGTGTTAATTCTAGCACAGGAGGGGAGCACGGAGCCCCATGTGTCAATGCACTATGAGGTTAAACTTCCATGCCAAACTGTTACCACCAGGGACGCGACGAGGCATCAGGAACAGAATGGATTTGAGTGACCCGCCTCATATTATAAATTATAATTATTCAGTGATATCGAAGTAGCAGCAGGGGAAGCTGAGAAAATTCACAACAAATCCCATCCGGTGCTTATGTTCACATGGGGCTTGGCATCACGAATCTCAATCGCCTCGCGCAGTTTGCGACGGGCTCGATCAGGCTCTCTTCCTATTACTTCAACTGCAGAGAATGCACTTTGCCCATAGTTAAGCTTACATCCAGGGTGAGTGGTACGAAAATGTTGGCCCCATGGCTTGTCGAGTTCCTGTCGTCTTGCCTCACCATTATGTTCTTCCAGGCGAGTTTCCAGAAAGCGGCCAGTCTCACCAACATATTGTTCCGGAAATTCTTTGCACTTCAGCTGATATACAACATTCTTCTGCATACATACATCCTGTCCGGGCTGTCCCCCGGATATACTGGTACACGAGATACACGGCCCCTTTGGGCGACCTCTCTTTTTCGGTTGTAGCGGATTTGCAGCCTTGACACATAGAGGAGGAACGAGGGCGGAGCGACACAATGTGCGCCTCAGGCTACCAGTGTGCTCATATACCATGTATACGACCCTAACCGGAATTTTATACGTAGAGGATATAACCCGAGTCAGAGGGTTATACCGGCTGAATATAAATCCAGGTACCCCTACGCATTTCCAGAACAACGAACCTATTTGGAGATCTCCTACATCATCATGCAATACATGAACATCTTCTGATGGTTATCAGTTGTCAATTGAAAGAATGGTCGAGCAAGGTCAGAAGAAGATTCCTCCGTGGATGTTTGGCATAAGATTTCCTTTCAGTTCCAGTGCATATTGTAGCATCTTCATGATCTTGTCTTGAGTCGTGAGCGGTGCGGAAGGCGACTGAATTGCTGCGGTGCTGGAGTTTGTCGTTGAATCAAACTACCGTCACTAGTTAGATTACAGCTTGGACTCTTTGGGAGTAAGTGTTACTATAATTATGGTACAGTGCTGATTTTCACATGCGGCATCTCATAATCAGTTTTGCTTGCAAGTAGATGCATTTGCATACACTGTTTTGTATCACATTTCAATCCAATCTATTGTAGCCTTTTCCAATCGGGTTGAAGTACATGTACACTGGTATTTGTACACTGGTATTATAAACTTATTTACGAAGGAGACAGTCTGTTGATGATCTTCAACTCTTCGAAGTACAATGTACATTGCTGACCCATTCGGGATACTTCGTGGTTATTCGACGTTCTTTATCCTCAGATTCAGTATAACAGAATACTCTGTAGACGAATTCCAGGTCATTCTTCTTTTCCATTGTGTACTGTTCCTCGTCAGTGTGCCGTTCTGTGTGGAGTGTACACGTGCATGTGGTGTCCGTTGTGTCTGTTTATGTATGGTCCGTGCGCTGGAGTACTGCCGCCGTACAAGTTCACTGCCTTTCAGGCAGTGAACATGTACGGTGGCAGTGCCCTAGCGTACGTACCGTGCACCGGGATTTATATTCTATATAAATCCCGCGCGGGATTTATACTGGCCAATATAACCATGGCTAGACGAGCGCTGATTGGCTGAAAACAGGCCCTCCGTACCGTACCATGGTATAATTTCTGATTGCTTTATTCACTGCTTGATGTACTTTATCTGACTTATATGGAAGCTTTAGAAATGCGCAGGATGGGTTGGCATGGCGACGACGCTTTGGCCTTATGGAGGCAGTGTGTGCCTCTTCAATGATTCTCTCCGGGTAATTGTTCAATCTTTTAAATTGTTCATGAACCCTCGCTTCACTTTCTGCACGCATTCTGGTATTCGATGAGAGCCTCTGAGCTCTTAGGAATTGTGACGAAGCAACTGCTTTTGATATGGTGGGGAACTGCCGAAGTATAATCAATGAGTAGACCACTAGCACATGCCTTCTGGTACAGCTTGTATGCCAGCTTGCCTTCCTGGATCATAATTGTGATATCCATATAATTTATGGAGCCACTCACCTCGCTGAGCTCATATGTGAAGTTGATACTTGGTGTGCAGAGTTGAAATGCTGCACAAACCGCATCAAGCTCTCTCTGCCGTGGGTCCATACTGATAGCAGCAGGATATCGTCGATGTAGCGTTTGTAGAGGAGCGGTACTAACGGAGAATCCTGCAGAAGCCTGGCCTCAACCGTATGCATGAATAGAATCGCAAATGGGGGTGCAAGATTGTTACCCATTGCAACCCCGTCCACTTGGTGATAGATCTGATGGCCGAATCTGAAATAGTTGTGGCTGAGAACAAGCAGCAGCAGATTCCGTACCCCGCTCACACTCAGCCCAAACATGTCGATCCGCTGGGAATACTGCTGCAGCATATCCACCACTGCCTGAACGCCCTCCCGAATAGGTATGCTCGGATATAACCCGACTACATCCATGGACATAACAATGGTGCCATCGGGGGCGTTCAATCCCGGACATGCGTCACAGATGTGGGTTATTGCTTCCGTCGTGTTAGCCAGGTGGGCCGGGACAAATTGAATGAGCTGCTGTAGGATGCGCTCCAATACAATAGATACTCCAGTCGTTGGGCTGTCGCACGCTGCTACCACGGGTCGCAATGGTAAGTTCTGCTTATGGTCCTTTGGAAGACCGTACTCGTACCACTCGGGGAACTTCAAATCCTATAATTAAAGAGGAAGTTAAGGCAAAAATTAAAATTTCACCAGTTGTAGTCTTCGGGGTGCTGAGTCGAATGGTCTTGGTCCGAGGAAGCTGAGACGCTCCCTTCCTACTTGAATCCCAATCGAACTCGCGCACTTCCACCGAAACTGGGTGACTGCGCCCTGCTAGATGGGGATTTGTATGCAAAATGTCACTAAAAGCGCCATTTCGTTCTTATAAAAGCACGGATGACCGCGATTGGCCCATATGTTGTAGTCTTTTGGACGCTGAGTCGACTGGTTTTGGTCCGAAAAGGCTGCGATACGGCGTTCCTCCTTTATTCCCAATCGAACATGGTTGAAGAAGCGGTCACGTGCTCCTGCGTACACCAGTCACCTGGTCACCGTGCCTGCAGGGTACAACTTAGGCTGTGTTTACATGAGAAATTTCAACCCGGGTCGAGTTCAGCCCGGGTTGAAAGTCTGTACGATAGACAAAAGAGGTGAGCGTTTACATGAAGGCAGTTGACCCGGGTCAAATACTGATATGCCGCCAAAAGTCCACTTCTACAGTCCTGCATGGTCACGTGAATCCGTTCGCGCGAAATTTGCATCTGCAGTGCTGTTCAAACCTGGCGCGAGATACACACAGAAGTACGTTTGTACGATTTTCTTGACCCGGGTTGGTTTCAACCCTCCCCTTGGGGGGAGGGTTGAAATCAACCCGGGGCGAAATTTCAACCCGGGTCAAGCGCAATGCGTCATGTAAACGCGCCATTCACTTTGTGCACATGGCGGGTTGAAATCTGACCCGGGTCGAACTCAACCCGGGTTGAAACGCTTCATGTAAACACAGCCTTACTAGCCTGTTTGACCTTTTTTGGGTGCAGTCCTGTCACTCGAGTTGAACCCGAGTTGAACCTTGGTGTGAAAGTTGTCACCTGCTGGCGTGGTGACAAGGTGATTTGGGCACCCAGGACCACGTGACCGCTTCTTCAACCATGTTCGATTGGGAATAAAGGAGGAACGCTGCATCGCAGCCTTTTCGGACCAAAACCAGTCGACTCAGCGTCCAAAAGACTACAACATATGGGCCAATCGCGGTCATCCGTGCTTTTATAAGAACGAAATGGCGCTTTTAGTGACATTTTGCATACAAATCCCCATCTAGTAGGGCGCAGTCACCCAGTTTCGGTGGAAGTGCGCGAGTTCGATTGGGATTCAAGTAGGAAGGGAGCGTCTCAGCTTCCTCGGACCAAGACCATTCGACTCAGCACCCCGAAGACTACAACTGGTGAAATTTTAATTTTTGCCTTAACTTCCCCTTTAATTATAATAGGATTTTTGCCAGCAAACAGATACATAAAACAGTAGGCATGTAATTGTATTTGTACAAGTCGAGTGAGTCCAGGACAAAGAATCGAGTCGAACATGTTAAAATTCCCTTCTCTGGCTCGCTGATGGCTGCAGTTCTTCCTCAAGGCTCATGCAGATACAACAGCACTTGCTGAACTCTGATTGCTTGAGGGTGGTTGACCAATCATTTCTGGTGTGAAGTTCACAGCCAGGATAGGAGGGAAGGTGGTGGGGGTTAGGGATGGCTAGAAATTTAGAACTATCTTCTCCTGCTTGCTTCTTCTTGGCTTGCAGTTAGCAAGAAGAAGCACCCCCCCCCCCCCCCAAAACCGGATTCCTGACCGGCCAAACAGGGATATTGACACACCAATAGCAACAAGTAACTAGATAAACTACATAAAGATCCTCATCATCTATTATACACTAGACTAGCCAACAGCCAGAGCAGATGGTCCTACTACAGTTGATACACACGTAATTGCCGGAATATGCAAGATGAATACCAACATGGGGTGATAGATGATTCATTGCAGCTGTACATACAAAAATAAACAGAATGAACTCGCGAGACCACACAGAGAGGAGGTGCCAGGCATGCATGCATGATAGCAGCAAACATCTGCATCAGACCACACAGAGAGGAGGTGCCAGGCATGCATGCATGATAGCAGCAAGCATCTGCACCAGGCACCCATTTCAGCCGGGAATAAAATGGAATCATTGGGGCACGCAACCTAAAATCAGAAGGGAAAGCGGGGAAAGGATGAGAAAGGAATGAACTGTAAAGTCCGGGCCAACACAAAAGTGAGGGTGAAAAGAAGGATGAGTCGAGTATTGTACAAGAGAAAGGGCAACACAAGATTGCATCAAAAATTAAAAGAGTGCAATCTTACTAACAGTTTCCATTCAGTTTGCACGCAGCGGTTCAGTGCGAGTAAGAAAATGTTGAGCATGGAGAACGGAATCTTTTATAAAATACATGCAGCACATCCAGGCGAGCTAGAGTTAGTATGTTATATCATTGTGCGTGCGCATGCAGTGTTGCTTGCTGCTAGCTCAATTGATAGGGCAACACCGACGGACACTATCCCACTCAGCGAGAGAGCAAGGTATGACTTGCCAGGCAAACGAGGAGCGGCTGAGTTAGTTGTACAGGTCGTCCTCCCCATCCTCATAAAGACTGTCACCAGCTGCAGGAGCAGCAGCAGCTGGAGGTGCTGCAGAACCGGTAGGAGCGGCACCGCCAGGTGGACCAGCTGCAGGAGCGGCGCCTCCTGAGGAGGGTGCCATTCCAGCAGGGAATCTATTCCAAACAGGAGACAAACACAAGTTGCAATAGACAGGGATGAAACAATCACGCTGATTACATGTCACTTACTCGTTATGGTTGTACTCAATACTTGCTCACGGTGCGTTCAGACTACAGATAACAAGTGACGGAATGGGAAAGCTTCCAAGGTGATTTGATCACGTGACGTTACTGGCACTTGGCCGGCAGAAAAGTTTTACTGCATTGGCTGCCGTGGCAGTAAAAAAGGTGCTCAGGCTGGGAGTACTAGTAGGGGAAAATACCATCTCAGAGCTGCGGTGAGAGCTGCACAAGTAACGTTAGCTCACTGGTGGTGCGAATGTCCTTCACGGTTTGACGGGGTGGTAGTCTGAACGCGCCCTAACAGTTGAAAAATGTGCATACCAAGTACTGGGAAGGCGTTTCAGCCACCAAAATGCAGTAAAACAGGCCGGCCAAGTCACTCACAATCCCAATCATGATATCTTCAATGCAGAACTGTGATTTCCAAGCAGTCTGGCATCCTTGGCCTCACTTCTCTTACGTGATTCGCTATTATTTTCTCACAAAAGAGAGTATAAGTAGCACTACTTCAATGAAATAATTGAACACCCGAAAAAAGTCGCTATAACCAACAACTCGATCGCTAACAAATACTGTAGTGTCTTGTATAAAAGCCTGTCACATATAGAAGTCTGTTTTGAAAGCAAGCCAGATTTTTCATGATGCACTGTCAGCACATTAGCCTGGCTTTACTAATGACACACACATAGAAATACCTGGTTTGAATACCACCCCGATTTGAATAGAAGCCTAGCCCTAACATCGGTATCTACAGGAATAAGCCCGGCTTTTATACGCGACATTACTGATACTAGGTAAATCGATAACAAATTTCAGCTATCGTTTCACCCCTAGCAAAAGATTTAAAAAAATTCTTTGAAGTGACAGCAAGCACAGCAATAGTTGCAAACCCACCTGAAGTTACCACCGAATCCACGACTCTGCTGAAGAGTCTGTGCGAACATTTCATAGCGGCGGATGTCAGCATCGCTGACAGAGCGGCGAGCGAAGCGCATGGCCTCCTCGAAATGATCCCGTCGCAACTCAGGAACAGGGTCCTCCTCGACATCCTACACACACACACGAAAGCACAAAAGCATTGTCAAAGGCTGACATGCAAAAACGACGGGATGAATCAGACCAAGAGTACATAACCCCCAAGAGTATGAACTCCACTATGGGTGCTGTCCTGACAGAATTTCAAGGTGACGTCATTTTTATGATGCAATGCGCATTGCACACGTATGATGAGACGTATCCTGGACATGTGGTGGACAAGGTCGGCTTGATCTTGCTTTGCTTGTACAAGGAAACACGTGTGATACCGTTTACACCCCGTACAAACATCGTAAATCACTCATGCGAAGACCATTGCATCATAAAAATTGACGTCAACTTGAAATTCTGTCGGGACAGCAGGGTATGTGGGAGTTGCACACTCTGGGGGGGGGGGGGTATGTACTCTTGATCAGACTAACTGAACACAGGAGCAGTCTGTACATTCCATCGGACGACTTAAAGTGGTGTGACAAGACAGCAGCAGGGTTCGATAACTCCTAGTATCCTTGGAGAAATTCGGAAAAATCAAAGATCTCATTGATGCACTATTATGATAGGTTCAAAAAAAGAAAAGAAAGAAAGGATCAAAAGCATTACGACATTGTATTACTTACCATGTCATCTGGGTTTTCTTGCAGCAGTCGTTCTCTCTTGATATCCTTCTGGATGGATTCACGAATGGCTAGCTTACATGCCTGAAACAGCCACGGTGCACACAAATAGACCTCATTTCTACATTGTGCTCATTCTAAAGGTACGTGCGTCTCAAGATAGCCCAGTTGGTCTCCCACAAAGCTATACACGTGGCCATAGTACATACGGGCAGTCAGGGGACAGGCAGATCCTAGGGGATAATTTAATAAAGCAAAAGCGGCTCAAGCAATACAACCAAATACCAATGATGCATGTCGACAATATTCTTAAAGAGCTCACCCGCTGGCAGATTTCTGTCAAATCAGCACCAGAGAAGCCTTGTGTTACTTTGGCGAGGTAAGTTAGGTCAACATCCTGTCACGGGCAACGACAATAAAATGAACACTAAATGTTATACAGCGTAGACAGAAACACTAAGAATGGTAATTGGTGGCAGCTGAACCTACAGTGATGTCCAGCTCAGGCAGAGTTTAGACAGTCCGCCCAACAACAACAACAACAACAACAACAACAACAACAACATCGTGAGAATAAAGAATTCAAAATTCAAAAAACATCAAAGATCAAAGAGCCACTATAGTGTTCTAAAAATACCACCATCAAACAGGCACAGCATAGTCACTAATCAGATCAGAGTGACACCATTCAGACCCCCCCCCCCCCCCCCTAAAAACAAAAAACAAAAGAGAGAGGCAAGCCAGTAACAATCAAAGTTTCTCACTTACCCCTGATACAGGTGACTTGCGAAGATTGGCCTTCAGAATTCCAATACGCGACTATTGAAGGGAAACAGCAGCAGCAGCAATGCGAAACCAACAGCAAACAATTACACATTGAATGTATGAGTGTACATGTACAAGTATACACAGCCAAACCATATATTAGACTCAGCAGGATGAGTAAAGGCAATTACAACAAGCACTACAAGTCTGACTGGAGATAGTACAAGATAGATGACAGTACATTGTCAGTGACCCAGTCAGGGCAATACAAAGACCATCCATCGTTAATGCTGCCACTGCAGCTGATATCTTACAGGCTCGTCCGGAAGAGGAATGTAGATCAGCTGATCAAGACGTCCCGGGCGAAGAATAGCCGAGTCAATAATGTCCGGTCTACGACAACGCCAGAACAACAAGACTTTGAGTACGGTCTACACAATACTACCGGTACAAAACCTACCCAACAGCTTCACATACCCCAATTCACACCTTTCGCAAGTGAATAGGCTGTTAAGGTGTACATAAGTGGTGGTGGAATGCGTTACGTTTGCGGTTCATGTACACCCAAACACAATTTCAGGCTTTCACATAAAACATCAATGCGAGCCTTATTTTAGGCCATGCGACGCCTTTGAGTACAGTCAGACCTCGCTTAACCGCACACATCTGTTTTCCACAAAAATATCCGGATAGGCGAGGGAACCGGATAACCGAACACCGTTTATGTTGGATGCATCACGTATGCTGCAAATATGTAACCAGCTATTTTCTTCCGGATGGCAAGGGATCCGGATAAAAGAGGACCGGATAAGCGAGGTCTGACTGTACTATTTTTTTTACCCCGCCAATCAAAGTGACTGGCATGTACGACAGTGCACGCCAGATACGCGCTGAAAACAAAGGTCATGCATGAATACACAAGGTGAATTACACTGCTGGTATGAAACCCAAGATACAGGGGAAGCCAGGCATGTACATGTACGCACAGGGGACAAATCAAAGCAAACTACACGTACCAGGCTGAAACTACACGTGATAAGTTCACAAACAGCAAAGGAAAGCAAGCACAACACTTGGGTACAAAAGCAGAGGACGGAAAGAGAGGAGCGAAGAAAGAAAAATGGAGAGGGGGCAGAAATTGCGTAAGCACAGTTTACGGCGGACACCGTCGTATCCACAAAGGGTAAACAACAAGTTTGAAAACTCACCGATTGGTGGCGCCAATGATGAAGACATTCTTCTTACTATTCATACCGTCCATCTCTGTCAACACTTGGTTGATGACTCGGTCAGCGGCACCACCTGGCAATAATAAAAACATAACAAAACAGAGGAGCTATGATGATACTGTATGTGGTGTGTGTATGCGCACATCAAGATAATAGTACAGCTAGACACACAGCAACATTACTCCACACGGTGGCAAATTACAACCGTGTTGTGAAAAGCATTAACCTGCATATTCACATGGTCTGCATACCCTAATAGAAGATACACTGTCTGACAGAGTAGCGCGTTGTGCACGTGTCTGTCCTTGTCTCTTCCTTTCTTTCCCACTCTGAACAGTACAGATAAGTAGTCTACATACGACGTAGACGCCACACCAGGGTCTGAAGGCCCGAAAAGCATCACATTTATAGATTGAAATTTTTTTCACGGTTTGCGTAGAGACTCAGTTACACTGAGTTCACCACATCCACAGGAACGCCACCACCCTCAAGGATCAAGGCACAGATGCAACTCCTAAAGCGGTGGATACCTGCAATAATTAATGTGTGACACAGGAATAACTAGCTAGACACACAAAATCACTAGTGCATATCGTACCTCCATCACCGGCACTACCTCCACGAGACTTTGCAATGGAATCCAGTTCATCAAAGAACAGTACACATGGTGCAGCTGCACGGGCCTAATGAACAGGATCATAAACACAGCAACGTGCAAGTCAACAGGAGAATAAAGACAGGCATGTGAACATCAATGGAGAAGCCTAGAAACATCGCATCGTAGGCTTGCATAACATAAGAGGGTGAAGTACTAGTTGCCAGCCATGTCATGTTCACCTGAGCTAGTCGTACCGGAAAAAAGGCATCCAGCGTTTATTTCAGAGAGAGAGAGAGAGTTGATCTGAGGATAAGGGCATACCTTGTCAAAGACATCACGGACATTGGCTTCTGATTCTCCAAACCACATGGTCAAGAGCTCGGGTCCCTAAAAAAGAAAATCACGAATACAAGAATACAATGTCATTGAACAGACACACAGGAAAAGACTGTAGTCTAAGGCCACATCTCTTCCAGAATACACAGCACATGCCACACTCTACACACACCAGATACATAGCCCTAGGCCTAGACACAGCAGCGCATAATATATTGTACAAAATTCCAATGAACATAGACCATTCAATAGTTCACAAAACTTTCAAAATGTGAGACGATTGGTGCAATTGTCTTACCTTGATGGAGATGAAGTTAGCCTGGCACTCGTTGGCAATAGCCTTTGCCAGCAGTGTCTTACCACAGCCAGGTGGACCATAGAACAAGACGCCTGATACAATACGCACAGACACGTGGACACACACACACACCACACACACATTCGAAGTTGAGGTTGGAGTTGGTGCCCTTTCCAAGGCCCCCATACCATGTCTGCACCCCAGTCATCTGTTTTCTGATGTCATTCTCCCCTATAATAAAGAAAAGAAGTTTCTAAAACTACAGTACATTTCAAGGTAATACAAGCCAGCAATCCTGGTGATCGCAAAGCAAGTTCGAAGCTATATTGCACGAGCTGCAAGAAAAATGGCTTTGAAAGGAGAAGTTAGATGGCCGTGGTCCTGTGAAGTCCGCTGCCGTACGAATTACCCTCGCAAGCAAGATTGCAATGTCAACTGTCAATAGCCTTATTTCAGGCCATGAGAATCAGGCTGCTCAAGGCACATATCGAGCTACAGTAAAACCTGTAATGGCGACCACTTGGATATGGCGACCACTTTTCCTTGCCACGGACGCATTCACATTCAAAACACCTCGGATAAGGCGACCACTCGCTCAACGCGACCCACGACCACCCGCCCGCGACCGTGTTGCACAGTGCTAGTCATGTAAATGTACGCATTGCATGGTGCACCAGGCATGGTAGATCTACACATCAGTGCAGGAAGTGTAGATGTACGTGGTGCATGCACGACATTTGACAGGTCTGAGGACCCCAGGCACATGAGTCGTGCTAGAGTAGCATAGGTGTGTGCACTGTGATGCACTGATCAAAATGATGTATCATATGTGGATATGGTCAAGTGACCCACTGAACCTGGATAAGAAGACCACCTAACCACGGCGACCACTTTTTCTCGTCCCTTGAGGGGTCGCCTTAGACAGGTTTCACTGTAGACCGTGCCAGGGCAACTACAGAGTCACGTCCACCGAGTCCGAATGAAATGATGAATACAAAGTTCAAAAACTCTAAATAAATCGTTCCTCATGTACACCGGTCTGTTGTCGGCGTCCCCACATAGGAGGCGAAGAACGCCCCATGAAGCTCCTTATGGGAAAAGAAAGGGAATGATAATCCTGCGCGCTGGTCAGAAAGGTGGCTTTCTACCAGGGTGTGATTTGATGTTGGTGGGAAACGATGATTATCAGGATGGAATTAACAAAGTGACCAAGCACTTTGTTGTTCTATTTTCCATTTTTTTTTCATGCATTGTTTGTCCAAAGCCCGTTTCCTTGTACTAGTAAAAAAAGTCTTAGTATTTGGAATGTCCGTATGTCCATATACCGGCATAAGTTTGTGTGCCGGGGCCTGACTAGCAAGAGCTTTGCATAACTAGCAGGCCTCCTTCGATCGACATAAAGATCAAGGAAGGATAAGAAGACAGCGCTATAGAAACACACACACACACACACACACACAGACACGCTGTTTGGCATGCTCCCAAACCGCCATCTCAACATGCACACATCTTTGCTTACCCTTTGAGGGGGTCATGCCAAACTTGAGGAATTTGTCTGGATGCTCGACTGGATACTAGACAAGCATAAATCACAGTTAGTACACAAGAAACAAACTAGAATTAGAGCAGGCGCTACATGTGCACAAGTGTGTACACACCACCACAAAAGTAATAGAGTTACAACACCCATCAGCACCAGATGCAAGTGTATTTGGTGTGGGTGCATTTGGTGTGCGTGAGAGAGAGAGAGAGAGAGAGAGAGAGAGAGAGAGAGAGAGAGAGAGAGAGAGAGAGAGAGAGAGAGAGAGAGAGAGAGAGACAGAGAGAGAGAGAGAGTGAGAGAGAGAGGGACAAAGAGAGAGAGAGTGAGAGTAGGGAGAGGGAATTACAACGAACCTGGACGAGCTCTTGAAGTTCCAGCTTGACAGACTCCAGACCACCAATATCGTTCCAGGAGACGTTGGGTACTTCTACGACTGTCTCACGGAGGGCCGCAGGACTGCTCTTGCTCATTGCAAACTAAAGCAACAAAAGAGAAAAGCAATGTAGTACAAGTAGCCCACACATCTATGCATATAGCAAGCCAAATTGTACATTCTCGATACAAGCCATCTGCATGAGGGCAGTCACAACAAGTAGCCACAGATCATACTGACGGCACCAAGCGACGGGCTTACTCGGAAGTTGTCCATGGAGACAGCAAGAGAATTGAGCACTTCAGCATCAATGGTGTCATCTTCCAAATCAATCAGATCCATCTTCTCACGAATCTACAGTGGAGCAACAAACAAGAACACAGCAATTGCTTCAACCTTCTGATCAGATAAACAACGTTGTGAGCAACACTGGCTTATGCTCAACTGGTGCAATTCACACAAAGCTGGCCGAGGGAAAGATTTTCAACGTTTCGGTCACTGTAACTATCATCAGTAATAAAGGGGGCATGGGGAAGCAAAACAATAATTTTAAACTTGAATCCCTACACACATAAAGTTAACAGGCACCAACTCACCTGTTGGAGCGCAGCCTCAGAGCACAAAGCTGCCATGTCGGCACCGACATGACCATGCGTTTCAGATGCGATCTGCAGACCACATGGATGAAAGCCACCGAGACACAACAATTCAATACATGAGTATTGCGCTTTCAGCCACCGCCTCTCTGGGTGCACATATGACCAGCTTTAAATAGTTGGAGAATAAAGCAAAAATGTGCCAGCTTCCTTGCCATGCTCACCCGTTGACCGGTGCGAATCAACATATTGAGTATAGTTCTGACGAGTGGAAAAGAAGCCACACTCAAAAAGAAAATTCCAATGCTGACAATTCCACATCAGATGAGAACAGCCTCAGGGCAAGATTCTCTGCACAAAGGATGCTTGGACGGAATGGCTTCAGTTCAAGCTGCATCCATCCTTCAGGGATCACACTTTCACCCAACACACAACAGCCATAAAGCTCAATACTGCACTGGACTTCGAAAAGGAGTTCAAAAGATGATTTGGCTTCCTGCATGAATTCACACAAAACCTGAAACATGACTACAATGTGAATGTTCATTTCTACTACTACCGGTACTAACTCTAGCAAACATATTATACTAGATCAAATTCAGAAAGAGAAGATACGTCAGAGCCCAAAAGATGGCAGAGAAAATTGAAACAAGGAAAGCTGCTCGCATCTACTGTTTCAACACAGACTGCAGTGCACACACAAGGACCAACGTCAGCAACATTACCTGTTCCAAATCGACTTCCTCGTCCAGCTTCATGTTCTTGGTATGGATGCGAAGAATCTCCAGGCGTCCAGTGGCATCCGGAATACCAATGTCGACTTCACGATCAAAGCGACCTGCGGTTCACAAAACAGATGACAATAGCACAAACCAATGAACAGTCAATGTCAGATGACAGTGAGAATGCTAGCCCATTGCCTACTACAATCCACTAGAATAGCAGGACAGACAACACGGCAACACCGACATTGATAATGAGAGATACAAGTAACTGTGCAAGAGTAGAGGATTGTACTACAACAATATCAACTAGTCCATGTATCACAGTTTCTCCTACGCTTTCTTCTCGAATGTTCACGCCATTTATCCTGGCAAGCTGCATTCGCTGTTATTCATACTCCTTGGTACCTGTTTCTGGTTAGTTTCACGGCAATCTACATTTGCCGCCAACAAAGTGTGGCCCGGTCGGTGGCTTCAGTGTGGAACAGGCAATGACTGCAGCACTCACTGTACACTATATTACAGTCTGGTATGAAAACTTACCGAAACGTCGGAGAGCACCGTCAATGGAGTTAGGCCTGTTGGTGGCAGCCATGACTATGACGTGAGAGCGCTGCTTCAAGCCATCCATGAGCGTAAGCAGCTGCGATACAATGCGTCGTTCTACTTCACCGTGTGTCTTCTCACGCTTTGGAGCAATGGCGTCCAATTCATCAATGAAGATAATGGCAGGAGAATTCTTTTCTGCTTCCTCAAACGCTTTTCGCAAATTGCTCTCGGATTCACCGGCCATTTTGCTCATGATCTCGGGACCTAAACAGGAACAAAACACAGGTGTAGAGCTTTGAGAACAAGCAATAACAACACCCGGTCACAAGGCACCAGTACCAACACTGGAAATCTATACCGTGCAGCCGGCTATCGACCAAGTTGCCAACTGCACACAGCTCACAGATGTTGGCACTGGCGACCATAGTGACAGGGCGGCCACATGTCTTAGAGGATCACTACAACCAAGACCCTGCAGTGTATTTCCACTCATGTGACCCTGGAAAAGGGGACCGCATTTCGGAGTTCCCGTGAGCGGTTCACTTAGACAGTTTCACTGCCGTGTATATTTGCAGAGCGATCACTACGAGTCGAACACGACACCCGGTCGTACGCCGTTGCGTACTGTCAAACTCTCATTCCATAAACCTTGCCGTTGCATCCGTGCACTTCAGCATACTCCTTGATAATTGGAACTAACTGCATCCCATCTTACTGGACCACTGCGGCTTATAGTGTATAAACCAAGCGGTGGCACAGCTGCTGTTGAGGCCTTAGTGGCTAGGTAAAAGAAACAACACTTCAATACAAACAACTGCTAGTCGGTAGGCCCGGGCCATATCGTGTCAGCCTACCGTTAATGAGGAAGAAGAAAGCGCCGGTCTCGTTGGCCACGGCCCTGCATTCATGACACAAAAAAGCATAAAAAACGTACTAAATGAAGGAATACAACTGAGCAGTGCACTAGCTTCTCAGTGAACAACAAAGTCAGGGAGGGTTACCCAAAGACTCAACAGTATAGAGGATTGCATAAAAAGCAAACACATCATCCAGAAGAAAATTCACTGTCACAGTCATAAGCACCTACCTGGCAATAAGAGTTTTACCGGTACCCGGTGGGCCAAACAGAAGAATTCCACGGGGTGGCTGCAGGAAATACAAGCAAAAATATATAAGCCACGTACGCCATGCCATGCACCAGGCAACAGTCAGCACAAGAGAAACATACATACAAAAACACACACAGGCGCACACACACGCACACGCATGCATGCACACACACACATACACACACACACACACACACACACACACACACACACACACACATGCTACCCAGAAACCAGTGTGTATTTGTGTGCACTTCACAGTAACATGAGCGGCCATACCTTGACACCAATCGTTTTGAAAAGGGCGGGATGTCTCAGAGGGAGCTCAACCATCTGCAGCCAACATCAACAAATACAATCTTTTAATGTCATTATATGCTCGTTCATCGAACAAAGAAGCAGAGATAAGCAAGTTATTCAACTAGTGAATAATAAAAGAAAGTTTGAAAACAAATTAAATATTTGAATAAACGGTGAGGAGACAACAATTTTAGTACCGCAATCAACAAGACAAGCCAGGTGGAGCAGTCCGGGACGGATGGAGCGAACATGAAATCGACAGAGGAGGTGGACGGTGATGAATCCAGTGAGGAGTCAGGGAGCGAGGAGAATGGTCAGGAGAGTGGCCGTGAGAGTCATTGTGCTGTACGCAAGTTTCGTAGTAGAAAATCTTCACTATTAAGTCATCTTGTGGCTAGTCCCGATTGTTGCAATTCGTATTCTAATTCTTGTTTCACTGTATAGGGTATTGTGCCGTGGTTGTCATGGACATGCAATTTAAATTAAAGTGTTGGAAGCCATATATCAGCATCTGTATAAACCTAATTTGTGCGTACAGAAGGATAATACTATTACGTTGAAATTGTTCAAGTAACACGTTGCGTTTGATGCGGCCAAGCACGGCCGTTATTGTTCTAGGTGAAATGTTTTGCTGTTTGTATTAGCACTTTGTCCTATTCGATTTGCAAGTTAATTGTTAACACACGCATTGGTGTTTGCTCTTGCCTTTCCTGCTACAATTCACACTTGTATTATTTCAGTGCTATAGTTTTAGGTGCATATCTATGGTGTCATATCTTACTTTCGTTTTTTTTATAATAGCTCAATTGAGTCGTAATGTCCTTTAGTACAACGAAGATTCCTGATGAGTTCATTTACATGTAAAAAAAGCCAGTGTTTGGCAGAAGTATGTTTCATTTGAAGGTCAGTGAGAAAAACAGACTTGGTCCAGGTTCCAAAAGGTCGAGCACATTGAGAACATGTATGGTGCAATGAAAATAGGAACTTAAAAAGGTGCACTGACAACGTTTCACAGCTCAAACACAACCAATTTCCAAAGAATTTATAAACAGCATCATTGACTTGCCTCCTTGATCTGAGCCAACTGCTTGCGGCAGCCTCCAATGTCATCGTAACCAACTTCGTTGAGGCTGTCTTCTTCCTCCTACCAGCAGCAGTAGTTAATACGACAACAACACATACACACACAGCACACAGATAAATGCCCGTACCAATGAAAGTGGACATGACAAGAATGGAACAGGAGTTTGTCAGGACGTGTGCCGGGTAACTGCCCAATCGACATAACTAGCAAAGCAATATGGATCGAGTCCCAATGCACACATAACACATGTGCACATACAAACAGGCAATTTCACGCACAAACATACACACACAGTACATGTGCCATACTTCCCATGGTGGTATATCACGACTTACTTCGCGCTTAATCGGGTCACCATCGCAGTGAATGACTGTATCCGGGGCAACAATGCAAAACGGAGCTGGGTCTGTCTCAATGACCTTGAACTCAACTGGGCGCATACCGGCACGGCACAGGAACACATCACCTGCACACAATAAAATAAAATAAACGAGAGAACTGGCTCAGGATCCTGCGCTACTCTTGCCGGGGCTTTCAGTCGCTGAACCCGGACAAGAAATGATGGAATTACGAAGGCGTTACTAACAGATCCAATGTGATTATTCTTTTTTTATTGTCAGCCGGTACAGGGTTAATTTTCACAGTATAAGCAGCACGAAGTAGAAAAAGGAAGCATACCTTTTCGAATAGGACGATATGCCTCCATGAAATACGGCTTGAGGTACACCTCAAACAGGTTACTGTCCCTGAAGCGTAGAAGCATAGAAATGGACGGGACATGTTTACAAGCTATCAAGCTCAATGCAAATACATGTAGAGACAACAGAAAAAGCAAAATCCCATAACTAACAGTCTAACGTGTAAATGCCACTTTACAAGCGTTGTGAATGATATCACGAGAACCTGTTTAGAGAGAGAGAGAGAGAGAGACTTTAGAAGCATGCATACACGTTAATATTTAATATATGGCATTGTTTGTGTAGTGAGCTTGTGGTTCTCCGCGGGTACCTGCGCCAGCTCCTGGCTTTGCTTCCGGCTTTCTTTTCTATGCATTGTAAACATGCGATATTTGACACCTCACATGTGCACCGTGCCTGTAGATGCCTGGAACTGAGCCATGAACTGCCGTGCATTGTTTTTCTAACTGTGTTATATGCATAATTTACTGTTTCGCTTTCCACTGAGCGCAGCTACGCCGTAAGCTGCCCATCGCACGGCTGATATGCTAGCTCTTGTGTTGTATGATATTTCCTTTTCCGCTACCCTGCACCTCACGCCGGTGCTTATCTAGTTAGTAGTAGTGCCTGAACAGTTCTTATTTCAAAGTCATTACTACCATTACCAACAGCAGGAGCACTTTGGCCCGCTCTCCCAACAAAGAAACCAAAACAATGGCATTCTGTGCTGTGGAGGTGGGCAGTAGTGGGTAGGTGTAAGACCATGACTGAGAAACAGAGAGTACCAGGTTCAAGACCTGCTTGGAAGTGAAAGGGAGTTTGGTGAACTTGCGGCAAAGCACGAGGGTAGCGTGGATGTAGCGAATGGGAGCGAACGGGACCATTCCGTTAACATCGCACCATGAGATACGAGTTACGCAATCAGAGAACCCCATAGCAAACCCATACAGAGTTGCACACACCGAGGAGCTTATTTTTACTCTTGATACCAAGACAGATTCATCAGGGAGGGACCTTCGCCAGCATTGCTCTAACCACTAAGCTATGGTGTAGTACTACTATGAAAGGGAATTTTAAACAACTCCTCACCGGCTCAAACCTTCCACTGTGTCATCAATAGGCAGAACATGAATCCTCTTCCCATACTTGACATCAGGACATGGCTGCACACTGGAAAAACGGGAAAAAGTGAAACATCCAAGAAAAAAGAACACATCATCTTCCAAATTCCTGAACTAATGGGACAAACGAATATTCTCTTTCAGAGAAAATCTCTTCAATCATGCAGGACCAGCATGGGACGTACAGTGTATGTAAACTGAACTGTGCAAAAAGGAAATTGAATAATATACAAGCAAAGGAAATAATGGGAAGTCCATTGGTATCAAAAAACAGATTCCACAAGTTTATGCCATAGCAACAAATCACACAGCAGAAGCATCGAGTTACGCCAAAGAGCAAACTTGAATTATGGAGGCCGAAAGGAGAGTTACCAAATGAGACCATTAGAGCAGCATCTTCAATTCTTCACACGCCCTCCTCTCAACTTGGCTTGCAATGAGAAGCTTCTTTTTGAAAAAGGATAAAATTTGAAATAGCTGATAAAAGTAGTCTCATTGAACATAGCGATAAAAACACACTTACTTGCACACTCTTTCAGGCCCATAATTTCCATTTTGGGAATTTCTGCGATTTGCTTCCCCCAACTACTAGCACCAGTATCTACCAATTTTTACCTATTTCCTGATCCACACAAAAGTGGTGCTATCCACCCCAGCAAATTTAGGGATATCAGCGAACGCACTGCGCAGCCCATCTGCGCAGGTCAGCCTGGCCCATCTACGCGCGGCCGACAAGAAAACTCATGAACACTTCCATTTTTTTGCAAAATAAATCGTGCAAAGAAGATGCACGGAATGGCTGAAAACTAGGCTGAGGAATAGTAGCATCCAGAGACTCTCAAACAAATTCATGGTCCATCGCTTCTGACAATGGCAGAGAAGACATCAGGGAGCTGATTGCAGCAACTCTCTACCAAGCGCGACGCTGGTTACTCACCAGGGCAGGGCGCTTCCATCGCGCAAGAAATGGCCGCGAGCGAGAAATGCAAGTCCGATTTTGGAACGATCCTACCAGGGAAATTCCTTGAAAATTGGCCTGAACACCTCTCATACTGGTGTTTCACGATGTGCAAACTTTCAGAGAAATCGACCGGGGAGAACGTGGGTCCTCGAGTATCGCGTATGATTTGAATGGTCGCGGGGACAGAAGAACAGTAATTTTACGACTCCTAGCGGTGCAAACAGACCGCGGCCATGTTTTCTCTGTCGGCCGCGATCACGTTCAAAAAATCGATGACGCACTGCATGCGCAGAGGCCTGCGCAGTGCGTTCGCTGACATCCCTACCAGCATAGTGAAGCAGTTCACACTGTCGTGTTACACAGTGAACGCTGGGTTGCAATCCGTACTTCATTCTTACTGGACTATTCAGCAAACTGTTTCGAATGAGTGAATTTAGCAAATTGACTTCTGGAATATTAGTGAGAATCGAATAAAAGGTGTTTTCGCATCACACATTCACCATACATACCTGACAACGTCGCCGGTGCGAACTCGTAAGTTTTGTCTCACAACACGGTTCATACGGATGCGCTCTGATGATGTTGCCTGCTCATCAGACAGAACAATGCAGACCTAGGAAGCGGTAGAAAACAGACGTGATGCACAGCCACTAAAATTAGACTTGATAAAACCAATCTATAAGACTATAATGCTCAAAAACTGCTGGGGTCCAAACGGATTTCAATATGGGGTACATGTACGTAAGAAAAAATTGAATGAGGGTCAACCCAGCTGGCTAGCACTCGAGTATTTGAAATGGTACGTGCGATTAAAAAGTGAAGAAATCACTGTAGCCATATCCGTTAATTATATCCAAGCATCATCTGTCGCACTTCAAACAGTCTCCGAGCTACAATTAATTCATAATTATTACTGACAATACTATTCGAATTTTCGGGCCAGAACTCCGGCTAAGGAGCGAGTCCGATAAATAAACTTAAAATACTGACCGTATCGCGGCGCTTCTTTCCTTTGATGAGAACAGTATCACCTCTGAAAAGCTGAAGTTCATCCATCTTTTCCTGCACAATAAAACAAATACATTGAACACCATCCAATTAATATTATTTCTTTCATTGTGGAATGGAAGTTGTCGCTTGCGTACCTGAGAAAGAGTGACGACTGAGTTATCGTCATTGATGGCATCATCCACAAACAGCCTATTAGGCTTTGCTTTGCGATTGAGAATGGCCGTGGCGACATCGTCTCTGAATTGCGGCAAGAAATAAGAAGTAGAAGAGTAAAATAAATAGAAAACTCAACAGCGAAAAATCTTCTGTGCTATCCACACTCGAACATACTTTGGATCAGGAGCCTTTATTTCAGCCATGATGAACAAGGGGACACAGTTGTGAAGCGATACAGGAAAGAAAAGCGCACTAGCACGAAATTAATACAAAGAACGAGGACTCTCTCAACTGCAGCAAGGCAACAGAAAAAAAGCCAAGACTGAACAGACTGAAAGACTTTCTACCCAAACAGGGAAAAGATAGTTCAGGGTCCAGATCACACTGTTTTCGCTTGCTCAGCGACTTGGCCATTGGGTAGCGTCGTGATAGCGGCCATTTCTAGATATGACGTAAGGTTAATCACAGTTCACACGTCACGTAGTCGATGACGAATTATTCTGGAAAATGCTGGCATTACTTCCCCCCGCGCCGCCAACAGTCATGTACGTACATATGGTATAATGCGACAAAATAAAAGCACGAGCGGTGTGCATGCGATATATGCGCATATGTGTGCTTGCATGTACATGTACACGTACGTAGCTCTACTAGCTACGTACACTTATACCAAGAGTAGATAAACAAGAGTGTGCAACTCCGGATGGATTGGCCCACGGCGGAATTTTTTGTTGACGTAATCTTTTCGACGACGCACGCGCTGCGAGCCTTTTGGAGAGTTTTCCCTCGTGCACTTGGCTGGGCTTTACACTACAAGGTCGGTGCCCAGCACGTGCTCTCACACTGCTCTGCGGCAAAGCCGCGTTTCTCTGAAAAAAGGTGACGTAAACAAAAAATTCCGCCGTGGGCGCGCGGTATCTGCAGATTGTGCAGGAGAGATCCGGAGTTGCACACTCTTGTTTATCTACTCTTGCTTATACGTGTATAGTCTACGTTTAAACGTCAAAAATTTGAAAAAATATTTCGCCAACTCAGAACTCCTACAAGTTAACAGTCACCAGTCACGTACTTGTCGCCAATTATTATAATAATGTTATCAGGACTCGGAGACTCGGAGTCCATGGACTCTTGATGTCATGCGTTTGCAAGCACTAGTTGCACTGTGCATGTGGTTTGTGGAATATGAAACTTCTCTCTCTGTTATTCAGGTACCAGTACGTTTGTTACTGAAGCGTTTGTTTTCATAATTGTTTATATTAATAAGACTTACAATTGTAGTGAAACATTTTTAGTATCCCATGGCACCTGGAGTGGAAGCCGTCAAGGCCGTCAAGGAATTCCTGGACTGCCTGAACTTTTCCCTTGCTCCACGGTGCATTGAGAGTGAGCTGAACTGCTTGACCGGAATTCTGGCAACTACGAATGTTTCGTTCTTCATTGAAGGTCTGGTAAAACGCCTGACCCAACTGAATCCTGATGCAGAGTGCTGTAGAAAATGTTCTTTGGCGGATGGGGAAGCTAACAGCACGCCACTGAATCGGATCGACCCAGCCACTGTTCAAATACAGGCCTCCAAAGCTGAGGTGGATGCCCGGATTGCTGCATTCATATCCAGAAAGAGAATTGAAAATGACGACAGCAACGTGAAAGAATTCACAGATGTGTCGCGAAGTAATCATGCTGATGGTATGACTTGTGCTAGAGCGCGACCGAGTGCTCTACCTCGCCGCCGCGCCTATGATGGCCGTATCAAATTAGCTCGTGTAAGACCTTGTCCGGTGTCTGTGAGTAGAGTAAGCAGTGTAGAGGTAAAGGTTACCTCCAGTAACGACGTAAGAGAAACTCCAGCTCAAGCGAAGATGTTGACGAGTGGTGTCGCTAAATCTGTCGTTAGTCAGCGGTGCAAACAGTTGGAATGTCATCTGGGAATGATGTCGGATTTGCCTGAAGGCAATCCTTATGAGCGTTTGAAACGCATTGAAGAGCGTGTGTTACAACTTGAAGCACAATCACCTGAATACATCTTGCCATTACAAAATAGAGGCCCTGAAAGAGCAATAATGGCAACAACCTCATCTACAAGTCTGCTCAAATCAAGTTCAGCTACTAAGGCTACATATAGCCATAGTCAGCTGCAGCAGCAGCAGCAACGAACCCACTATCAACAGCAGCATGCAGCTAACAGCCGTTCACTGCTGACCTCTCATCCGTACGGCCAAAGCAGATGCAGCCTTGTTGCTACCCAGTGCTCATCTCCACTGTCCAGCAGGTGCAGTGCTGATGAAGAGAGCAACTCGGTGTATGCATGTCGGTTACGAGATGGACTTGGAATGAAGCCATTTGATGCTGTGACTTGATAGCAGTTGTACACTACCACAGCGCATGCAAGCAAGCTTTACTGGTACAATGTGACGTAGTGGTGCTGTTGTATGAAGTTGTATCTAGCCATCAACAAGAGTGCTCTGGGAAGGCTGTACCGAGTAGTGCCACCAGTGTAATATCACCATTCAGCTATTCATCGTAACTGGACGAGTTGATAGCGCCTTTCCTGTAGGCGCTTCAAGTGGAAATGCCGACGCAGTCAAGTCGATCTAGTCTGTCCTCTCAACTCAAGACGTGTGTCACTCTGTGAGTCCATCAAAGTTCTCATATCAGAATGCAGTTTGTCCTGCCGGGAGTAGTACAGCACACCTATCCTCGGGAGAGTAGCAATACCACATAGATCTGAGCCCCAGGACTACTTCTGTTGTTGTCGTCTTGTGTGAGCACTGGTGTCTGGGTAGCTGACTGGCAGCAGCAGGTGTGTGCCAGAGTGGAGGCAGACTGCAGACAGATGCCCAAGTGAATACTGTGCGATAGTCAGCTAGTGCTATGCATGATGACTGGAAGTTGACCGGTGTTACCCGTGTAGAAGCGTAACAGTTATTGTGGTGTATTCGTTCAGCTGAATCATGAAATGCCCTGCCTGGCTTCGTAGCATTCAAGTAGGACCCCCTGTTTTACCATACGTTTTAGTCCGCTTTCTTCCTACTGCAGCACTGGTGGTGTTCTTTGGATTAATCCTGTAGACAGTAGTGGACTTGGAAGAGTTTTTATACTTCGAAGTACCTATTCTCCTCTTGGGAGGACAACTGCGCTTCCCCCCCCCCCCCCCCCCCCCCCCCGCGTGGGTAATGCAATCTTCTTCAAACCATTTGTTAGGTATTGTTTCATGACAACATACTCAAGTGCATTACACTCTCTGAAATGTTTCCCCTTCAGGTGTTGAAGTAACAAGTACAACTCTTTACAGCATTGCCGAATTAGTCCGACAGGACTCTTCCTTCGATATGCCATAGTACGAGGTAGAACCGTTACTGTTCTTCTTCTGCAAGAATTTGTGTGTTGTTGAATTGTGAGTCTTTACATTCCAAGGCTGAGTGTCTTGCACAGTACTCAGTAGCCAATGCATGCATGCATATCCCGCTAGGAGTCATGTACATGCACGAGTGTGACTTGGTACTTCACAGCCCTACAGTCGAGTACCACGACCAAGGGCGTTGTTACCAAGGGCGTTGTTTCCAAGGGCGTTGGAGCGTTCTATTTTGCAGCAATCTGGCTGCGTTCTTAGGAGGTAGAACGTTCTTGGAAACAATTCAACGTTCTTTGGCGCGTGACTCTACTGTAAGCATGCGTCTCTGACTGGAGGAAAATCGGTTGGAGCAGATGTCAACGAGCTCTTGGAGTGCAGTGCGTGAAACGCATTTTTGCTTACCAGTAGCAAGATGACGTACAAAGTCCAGACCCACCCAATGTTTCTTTGCTAGTACAGGCATATATACATGGAGTAATCGATTTGGGGTGGGTCTGCCCGTGAAACAAACACTGACTTCAGCTCCAGAAGGCTGCACACAGAAACCATGAGCAATCGTGATGGGGCACAGATCGAGCTGTGACTGGGTTTGCAAGGCAGAAAACACCCTCGGCCTAGTGCTTCCTTGTCCACTGCCCTGGTTAGTTGCGTGGTCACGTCGTGCAGTGTCTCCTATTCCAGGCCAAAGCCTACATTGTGACTGGCACATGTTGAAGGATCATTAATAAAATATCACCCGCAGCCAGATTGCTGTGTATTGGCAATATCAGTACATGTCCTGGTGCATGCCTTGTAAGAGTTGCTTGACGTCACATGGTCAAATGTCAACGACACCCAAGCCAACTTTCATAATAAATAAAAAACCTAAAACTTTATAAAGGATCTAATGGATATGAACACGGGTGACCATCTATGAAGATAAGCATACTGTGTAGCATAGCTGAGAATAGAAAACAGCCCAAGCGGCTAAACATCCCAGCAAGCATGCGCTGCCAGTCAGGTTGGAAGATGCCACCGACCAATCAGCTGGTGGGCAGTCCAGGCACTTGGTCACAATTACTGGATCATTCCAGAGGTTCGATAAGATGAACAAGCTATTTCCTTTCCCATCACATTGTCATCGTCATTGTCCTGTTCATGCTAAGTGTCAGGACCTGGCTGATTTTCCAACGACTTGTGCTGCTTCTTCTGATCCTGAGCACTAGGGAGCTGTTCGTTTCCATTGTCCTCTTGTCGTTGTAGATTATTGGACTCTGCCACTACATCGTTGTTCGTCTTCTCAGAGTGGTGTAGCTTGGAATCTTCAGCTGCATGATGTTCAGATCTCTCACTATCACTATGGCGGGGAGATCCCTTCACAATGGAAGCATTTACTTTAGAGACTGGATGATTAGAGCTTGTCGCATTCTTCTTCGTAGCATTCAGCGTCCTATTCGGCCTCAAAGTCGCAAGCTCAGCCTCCAGTCGCTTGACTTTCTCCGCCAGCTCGCCATGTGCCTGGGTATTATTAGAAGCACACAGCCGCAAAAACACATCAAACACACACACACACACACACACACACACATACACACACACACACACACACACACACCTTTGACCTTTGACCTTTGACGCCCATCGCCGGAGGCGATGATAGCAATGCTACGGCAGAAGCCATAGCAACTTGTGCTGGGATTGCACCATTCAACAGCTTGCAAGGCTGAAGAATTGACCGTCACTATTCAGCCTGGTCTACACCATACAGCTATTTGAAGTGACTTTTTCTGGCCAGTGAATCCCTATTTTTGGTCTTTTTCTTTTTTCTTTTTTCTTTTTTTTCTTTTTTTTTTTCCCACACACACATCACACCACATACTCCGGCATGCACTGGCTGTTGGTAACCACCCAGGAGAATGAAAGAAAAGTCAGGAAGAGTCTGAGAAAGAGAAGAAAGACGTGTGTGACCACACACACACACACACACACACACATACACACACACACACACACACACACACACACACACACACACATACACACACACACACACACACACACACACACACAAACTCATGCATGCAGGCGCAGGCATAAACATAGCAGAACCAAGTCATTCCATGCCGACTCAAAGCACACACTGACATGCCCAAGTTCAATACATGCAACTATAATTTAGTATAAATGCTACTTGTACATAATATGTACAAGTATGCTGGGTCCATGACTGGGCTAGTAACTACAATGGCTGGCAGAAAGGCTCGAACAAAAAAAGAATATATCCTGCTACAATACCCCTTATTCTGATTGGAAGGGTGTTCATGTATACAGTCCTGCAAATGTCGTACATCCTGCTTGAGTGTTTACCAACTTTACCTACCTACGTACCTACCTACCTACACACACAACAGAGGCGAAAGGCTGTGTTAGCTGTAACTTAAAGTTTCACGCATCGGAGCGATCATCAGACAGCAGCATTCACTATCGAATTCTCTACGAGCAGGCCTAGATATTTGGTGCTAGTGTAGAAGTTAGTGCATATGTGCGAAGTGAAGACGTGGCATTGTACCTACGTACCTACCTACTCTGCAACTCTGGCCAACGCAGGGTAGCACCCCAAAGCTGAGCTTTGGTCATGCAGTCCAGTTTTCAAAGAATTCGCACAGTTCAACCCAACCATTTGCACACTTTTCAATCTCAAGTTCTCAACACACATTCAGGGTGCGTTCTCATTTTCTCCTGGTTCTTGGAGGGATCTCTCTTGGGAGACGAAGAAACAAGAAGAATAAAAGAACGGATCTCGGCGTCTCGAGTGCAAAACGGGCAGCGATCTTGAGAAGCATGCAAGCATTGTACCTACGTACCTACCTACTCTGCAACTCTGGCCAACGCAGGGTAGCACCCCAAAGCTGAGCTTTGGTCATGCAGTCCAGTTTTCAAAGAATTCGCACAGTTCAACCCAACCATTTACACACTTTTCAATCTCAAGTTCTCAACACACATTCAGGGTGCGTTCTCATTTTCTCCTGGTTCTTGGAGGGATCTCTCTTGGGAGACGAAGAAACAAGAAGAATAAAAGAACGGATCTCGGCGTCTCGAGTGCAAAACGGGCAGCGATCTTGAGAAGCATGCCATGTATATGATATTTTTTTGGTCGCGCTTGGCAACACATGATTTTGTAAAAGTTTGGAGAGCTTTGGAGCATCCCCCATAATTCTGAGAGGATACTTATAAGAACACTTCTCCAACTTTTCGCAGAGGCTTAGACATTTCGGAGAGGATTTTAGAATGTACAGTCAACTTCGCTTATAACGACACTCGGCGGGGAATCAGAAAAGTGTCGTTATTCACAAAGTGTCGTTATACCCGAAGTCTCATTATATGTATTACAGTTGGATGGGACTTTGCTCTGGGCATGGAAATTCTGTCGTTATTCGCGAATTGTCGTTATATCCGCAGTTGTTATTAGCGAAGTTGACTGTACCTAAAATGTCTCTCTACTGCGAACAGAATCCTCCTTCTTCACCAGAAACGACCCATTGTCGGGGTGACCTATCAAGCTTGACGAATGCGAGATACCAGTAAACTGACATGTCAGACGCACCTTTTCACAAGCTGAGAATGAGGAAAACTGAGATGATCCACCAGTATCAGACTTGTGAGCAACATCTTCTTTCTTTGTATCAGAACCATGGTTTTCTGTGCAGTGAAAATACCAAAACAGGACACAGAAGGTGATGAAAGATTTCAAACTTATACAACAGCAGGAACGGCAACAACGACAACAACAACAACAACAACGGCGACAACAACAACAACAACAACAACAACAACAACAACAACAACAACAACAACAACAACAACAACAACAACAACAAAAACAGCAACACAGAGTGCTAGTACCGGTACTTGTTTGCTACTTCTCTACAAACAGCCATCTATTCTAACTGTCATATGACCACCTATCCCTATGGCAGCCAACAGTAACCTCTTAATGGAAACCATGCAGTTACTGTACTCCTACTTGCTTGTTTCACCAAATCATAACACAAAAATGCAATGCAGCACTGTAGAACTGTTACAAGCCAAAGTGAAACTGAGCCACTGTGTGACTACAACAAGATTAACCCAGTCCTAGTGAGCTTACCGTGAAGTACAGTCATGCACTGTTGATCCCCCTCCCCCCCCCCCCCCACACACACACACACCATGTCGCTTCCCAGCTGATCATTCGCAGTTCATGCGTCAGTTCAACACCGTATTCTGACATACATGCTGAAGGCGCTTGACAGATAGATATTCGACAGGCAGTGAAAACGGGCGGATCAACGGCACTTTAAGAAGTTTCCATCACCAACCCTCAACGCGCCTACAAAAAACATTTATAGCTCACGTCGCTGCTGTGTGCGACCTGAGCTGGGCGCCCTGCCGCGCGGCATGGCACAAGGGGGTTGCCCTCTGGCCAGCGGCGTATTCAGCAGCCATGTGTGCTGCCTACAGGATCCCAGTTACGACAAGCCTCAAGGAAGCCTCTGGGGCTCAGGCAGCCTGCAGGCGTACCGTATACAGGTATGCGTAGGCGTAGCAGCAGGGAAAGATGCATGCTGGAAGCTTAGCATCATCCGGCCGGCCTCATGGTTGGCCGTGGCCTTACACAACCGGCACTTCTTACTGTTGTAGCTTGCAGAACACCAGTTTTTTTCCTCTCTCGTTTGTTCTAACCTGAAAGTAGCTCTACGTTAGTTAGTCAGCATGGATCTTACTAGGCAGCAGGTCGAGGCCATCTCAGAGGCCACCGCAGCGGCAGTAGCGTCCGCACTAACAAATGTGCGCTCGGGTGCGGAGAATCGGCCTTCGGCGAATCACGCAGGTAAGGACCATCATGATGTGCATGCCGAGTTGTTGGTAGGCGCCAAGCTACCTGCTGGGGTGGCGCATGCGTCAGGGGAAACAATTAGGAAAATACTGCGGGTAGAATATGTGAAGCTGGCCACACTACTCCCTTCCCGCTCTGCCCACTCGGAGCCTGAAGCCAAACGCTTCAAAATCAACCAAACAGATGGCAACGAGATCGTCCTGGCAAGTGCCGCTTCCAGCAAGCGGAAGATCGAATCGCTAATTGACTGGGTTGAGGCCTGGTCGATATTTAGTACCATTGTGTCGTGTAACATGCCTGATACTGCAAACGGGCTCATGCAGCATCAGCTGAGGGTGGAGCAGGCTGCCCAGAAGTATCGTTTGTCGGCAGTCCTGGATTTCGACATCCGGGTCCAACAAGCAATCGCTAAGGACTCCTCGCGGTCCATTGGTGTGATGGATACAGAACTGTTTACGCAGTGTTTTACCGGGCATGCACTTCCCGTCTGCACCAAGTGCCATAAGACTGGCCACGTGGCGCCTTCCTGTTTCGCAGGGCGCAGAGAAACGTCCATTTTTCGCGGCTCCCAACCAGCGAAAGGTGGCCAGGACCAACCCATATGCAGGTGGTTCAACACCGGGTCCTGCTCATTCACCGATTGCAAGTACAAACATGTTTGCTCATTCTGTGGAGGCTCCCACACAGCAGCCAGCTGCTCAGCCCACCAATCGGCTTAACCCGCCACATGCCCACCAGCCTGTCGTCGTTCCCTTATGCATTCCCCATGCACCACACACGAACTGGGAAAGGAGCTCCAATTCCACCCTGACAGCCACCTGGTACAATCAGTCCTGTCCCACCTGCGGCATGGCTGCCGGGTCGGGTTCACAGGCAACCGTGAACACTCGGCCATCGCCAGTAATCTGTCATCAGCTCACAGGTTCCCCCCAGTAGTGAGCGAATACCTGGCCAAGGAGTGCACTTTGCAACACAAGTGCGGTCCTTTTGACCGGCCACTATTTCTGCCCTTCCGCACTTCAGGCATAGGAATCGTACCCAAGGAGTCCGGAGGTCATCGGCTGATCCTCCACCTGTCCGCGCCAGCCAACAACAGTATTAATGACTTCATCAGCCAAGATGACCGCACTTTCAAGATGCTATCAGTTGACAATATCTGCGACCATGTCAAACGCATCGGGCCTGGAGCGTTACTAACAAAGGTAACTTCTCCACAGCAATGGAAACCATGCAGTTACATGTACTCCTACTTGCTTCTTTCACCAAATCATAACACAAAAATGCAATGCAGCACTGTAGAACTGTTACAAGCCAAAGTGAAACTGAGTCACTGTGTGACTACAACAAGATTAACCCAGTCCTAGTGAGCTTACCGGGAAGTACATGCACTGTTGATCCCCCCTCCTCCCCCCCCCCCCCCCCCCCATCCCACACACACCATGTCGCTTCCCAGCTGATCATTCGCAGTTCATGCGTCGGTTCAAAACCGTATTCTGACATACATGCTGAAGGCGCTTGACAGGTAGATATTCGACAAGCAGTGAAAACGGGCGGATCAACGGCACTTTAATGGAAGTTTCCGGAGGAGGAAACTTTACGTTACTTCCTTCTGACTTCTTACCCGGCACCTACCATAGCTACATTTAACCCTTTAAGAGCCGCCCCATACTTGAATGCGTCGTAAACGACGCATTCAAATGCAAAACTTCAAAAGATCGTAACTCAGTCCAATCTCGCTCAAATCCAGTGATCGAAATATCCAGGGCGAAGAGAAAACTCTCACCTGTCGGGAGAAACAATTCGCGAAGCGCTGCGAGCAACGGTTCCTGAGATAAATCACTCGTAAGTTGAGCCGCGATCGCGGCAATTTCAAAAGCGCGCAGTGCGACTTTAGTATTGAGAATTTTGAGACTTTTCGTCACGCTGGTTTACTCGAATTTGCACGGGTTTCACTGTTGATATTGTCAAGAGTACACAGCGAAAAAAATTGGAACTCCACGATCGAGTAAAATGAAATATCTGGAGCGGGACGCAATTGGACGCATTTGGGGCATTTTTCGTACTGTCGCTGCGATCTAGCGCTGGATAGACGGTGTGCTGGCTATCATGATCGACCTCATTCTCTTCCTCTGCGGAGACCTTTCCAGGAAGCCCGAGGTTGTGAAGATTGAGTGAGTAGAACTGAAGCTATGATCGAAGGAACACGAAAAAATGCAGAATTCTGAAATTTTCCTGTGGCTCTTAAAGGGTTAAAAGTACTATTACTACATATGTTGCGTTCGTCACACATGCACTAAGGGGTCGTCGCAAAGTTTTTTGTCGTCACATCGTTCGTTTCGTACTCGGACCCCCTCCCCTCCCTCTGAAACGAACGCAGCTTGCTACGCTGGACAACGAAAATTGCATGAATGTTACCATTGTACATGGCGGTCACTACATGCACATATGTACAGCGTCGGTTGACTTGCGATTTTGGCTTGCACCCCTCCCCCCCCCCCCCCCCCCCCCCCCAGACGGACAATGTTCGTTTCACGGACGACAAAAAAACTTTTGCGACGACCACTAACTTTCCTATTAAGAATGGACTCGGATGGAGAGCCAAGGATTAGTATTATAGAAAAGAAAAAGGACCAAGGAACTAACGTCGGTCAATGTCGTGCAATGTTATCGCATGAGCTGATTGTTTAGCAGCTGGTGGTGTTAGTGGACATTATAGCGTAACTTGTAGTTCTTTGGTCCTTTTTTTCTCTTCCTGTTAAGGTACTGACTCTACTGAGGAACATCAAACCACTGTTGTAGGATAGCCCAATGTCCATGCACACACACACACTCTGCACAGCTATAGGCTACAGATGAGTGCAATGTGGCATGAAACTTCAGAGTAAAGGCAGTTTGGCTTGACATTTCCACTGGACCTAGGTGTGAACTTACTTGTAGAATCTTCAGGAGTGGGAACTAGACCGGCTTGGATATATATCTCATCCATTCGTCTTGCCAAGCCCTGAAAGCCAAACATCGCAACAGCAAAACAACAGCAAAACAACAGCACCACTCAGAATTACATTTCGTAGCTAACTGTGGCTAAGTACCGTAAAAGTCCGTAAATAAGTACGTATTTACTTTCGAATTTAGTGACCACACCCGTACTAACTTTCGGGCGGGTACTGACTTTCGGGCACGAACTAACTTTCGGACCTGACTTGTGTGTAGTGGAGAAGTCATTTTCATGTCGATGTACATGCTACGTGCTGCATGTGCGCATCGTACCGGTACTTATTTCGGGCAGTATGTTTATCGGGCTTGACTTGACTTCAACAGACAGAGCCAAAAGAATGAAGGGGGTATTTCTTTCGGACAGGTACTTATTTACGGACTTTTACGGTAGCTGTGCTAAATTTCCGACAAACCAACCTAAACTATCAGACATACGGCAACGCGCATGCAGGAGTACATACACATCAAACGAGAACTGACAGAAACGCACAAACAGCTTCCTGCGATTTATAATCTACATGTACATGCACTTCTAACGTTGTTAGTACTTGAAGTACGCTTTTATTCCCGTAGCTATGCAGAAGACGTTACTTCAGTAACGTCTGGCGCTAGCCAGGGTCCACACAGCTTTAATTTGGTGTTTGTTTGTGTGTTTGTTTGTGTCACGCCTGGCGTTATCCGTATCTGACGGCAAAAAAGCATAGGATGTTATAAATTTTTCAATTCTCCTTTTTTTTCAGGCATATCCTGGGATTCGAACCCGCACAATCGCCCTACATGCATTCCCCCCATACATTTCGCATTCATACCCATTCTTCCAAGTTGCTTTACGTTATTATCTTGCGTTTGAAAGCCCTATTTGAATATTGCGGGCAGCTGTATGTGGCCAGCTGTGTTTGATGGTACGGTACGGTACGGGAGACGGTGTCGTATTACCCTCGATCGTACCTGTCCCGTCCCTATCCCCTACCGTACCGTGCCATCAAAGACGGCTGGCCACAATGCATATTCAAATAGGGCTTTCAAATGCAAGATCACAATGTGAAACAACTTGGAAGAATTAGTATGTATGCGAAGTGTATCGGGGGATGCATGCAGGGCGCGCGATAGTGCGGGTTCGAATCCCAGGTTATGTCTTTAAAAAAAGGAATTTTTTTAAAGAATTTATAACATCCATATGCTTTTTTTTTTGTCTAGGTCATCAAGGCAAAAAAGCATAGCGTAGGGCCCTGAGCTTCCAAGCTCTCTCGTATCGCAATCGATATCAATCCAGCATGTATCTTTCTCAACACTAGAGAGGTTCTGCATAACGTAATTACGTTAGTAAAAAACATAGTCGATCTACGGAAAGTCTTATGTACATACACTGCATGCGCATCCGTGTTCCGCCATACAGAGTTTTCAAATCACGTAGCTGCCCTTGGCGACCCGGAAAGCTGCAGTGTACGACCCGGGATCGACCCGGGGAGAGAGTCATAAATTTGTACCCCAATCCACTTACGGAGCACCTACGTTATCAGAGCCCTATCTACGTGCTCTACATAGACAACTTTCCGTAAGTGGAGTGCAAACTCGCGAATTCACGGGTTTTCCCGTTCACTAACGTAGAGTTGCTCAACTGTACGTAGTGTGGAACCTCCCTACTAGTGTTACAATGAAGAACTAATCATGCTAACAGCACACCATGCTAACAGCACACCATGCTAACAGCACACCATGCTAACAGCACACCATGCTAACAGCACACCATGCTAACACACCTTCAATGTTATTTCATTGTGGAAGAACAATTCTTGAACACCTCTCCAGTCCTGTTGCTGTGAAGAATTGAGTAGGTAATACACTGTGTGCAGGCACGCAGGCAGGCAGACAGGAAGGCAGACACAAACACGTGCATTCATGCATGTCAATGCTCACTAAAACATCGGCACACTTCGAATATCATTCAATGTGACCAAGTAGGCTGTTTCTTGTTGGGGGCGAGGGAGGTAGAGTTGTGCTACTTGAAAACAAATTCACGGTTCGCGTGAGACTCGGCCAGAGGCCCAGTTTTCCGCATCCGCAGGAACGCCACCACCCTCTTGGATCAAGGCGCAGATGCAGCTCCTAAGCGGTGGGAGGTGAGTAGACCAGACCCACCACAAAGTGGTCAAAGACCGAAAATCCCATTCACTGCATCCATGTGCTACTTGAAACTAATTTTAATATTCTCCCCGTGAAATAATAATAATTATTGATATTCTCTGATGGCTGGTTAGGACAAGAGATTCGGAACCAGCAAACCTGCGAGGACAAGAGATTCGGAACCAGCAAACCTGCGAGGACAAGAGATTCGGAACCAGCAAACCTGCGAGGACAAGGTTATTTGTTAAAGTATTCTGGTGCTAGGAGGAACATGGATAGCACATTCATGGATAGCACATTCATGGATAGCACATTCAGCAACTGTGATTAGCAGTACTAATACTACCGGTACCCGTACACAGCATCCAGGTCAGCAGCGCAGCGACTGTGAGATACCTGTGTTGGCAAGGCCAAGCTTGTCTATGACAAGATGCCCAGTGCAAACATCAGATGGGTTGAAGCAAGCCTATCTTACAACAAACACATAGTTATCTAGACTATAGCTTGATAATACCTGGAAATGAGAAAGCACTAGTATCACACTTTAGTATATGATTATGAATGGGCGAAGGAATTGTTCTAACCATTATCTTCAGTTTGAATTACTTCTTGTCACCAGCAGCACAGCAGCACTTACCGGCCATCAACGTGGAGTTGCAAGCTAGTGGAGTCTGGTATCTCAGCTCATAGTGACATGTGCTTGGTTCTGATGCGCTTGACAACTTGTGTTCGGCTGAGCAAATGAAGACCACCTACACGGGAGCAGTAGAAGCAACGGCAGCAAGATCAACAGCATCAATGGTGACAGCAAGAGCAGCAGGAGCACACAGTTACCAAAAACTCAAAAATAATAATAAACAGTTTGCACGTAGAGCATGAGTGGGGAAATAAGTAGCATCAAAAAACCTGAAGTATAGTGTCTGCACACAAGCGAACATGCCACTAGCATTAGGGGAACAAACACACACAGCAGAACAACAAACATACGTACAACCATGAGTATGTGTACAGACTTGTACACACACACACACACACACACACACACACGCATGCACGCAAGCATGTACGCACACATACACACACGCACGCACGCACGCACACAAGCACACACACACACACACACACACATTGGAGGAAGTGCATTAGCAGCGCATTGCAACACGATCTTACCTCAGCTTGCCTATATGTACCAGACATGCCGCAAGAGTCACCGTGAAGCATTTGCATGGAGTGCAAAGAGCCATTCACCACATTCCAGCCTTGATACACACTGGATTAGACACATGTACATAAGGTATGTCATAACAAAAACAGAAAAGAAGAACGGAGAATGGCCACAGTACAATCTCCAACGTGCAAACCCTCACCCGACTCACTGCTGCTAGGAGCCTAGGACTCAACCAAAATGGTCCCCAATGCATAAACGATGGGTGTAAGCAAAAGAAAAGCTCGGTGAACCCCAGTCCTAGAAACACAGCACAGTTACTGTATTAGTATACGATACCCAAAACAGGTCAGGGGCATTCCAGTACCAATCACAGGTCAGGGGCATTCCAGTACCAATCATAGGTCAGGGGCATTCCAGTACCAATCACAGGTCAGGGGCATTCCAGTACCAATCACAGGTCAGGGGCATTCCAGTACCAATCACAGGTCAGGGGCATTCCAGTACCAATCATAGGTCAGGGGCATTCCAGTACCAATCATAGGTCACCCGAGGACCACTTTTCATCTCAGCTGGTCAACCTGATCTATCTAGAACTGGTGAAAAAAAACGGGAAAGGTATTACCGATGTCAGAGAAATTGTCTACAAATGCGGACAGTCAGAGAGAACTTGAAGGGTGTACTGGTAAGTAATTTTCAGGGGCGGGGAGGGGCACAATCCCTCCCACATGTTGTCTCCATCGCACTAAAGACAAGTAAAGTCTTCATTCTATAGTCCTACACACAAGCCAGAGGCTTACCCGAGAACACCTTTGTATGCATTCCACCGTGATGACTGCTCGTGTTGTGTCACATTCTGGAAAGGACACACCTCGTACTTGTAACTATTAAAAAAACACATGTGCACCCACACCCACATGCACCCACACCCACATGTACTCACACCCACATGCACTCACACCCACATGTACTCACACCCATATGCACCCACACCCATATGCACATATGCACACACATCCACATGTACATAAGCACATGCACCCACACCCACATGTACATATGCACAAACACGTGCACATGCACCCACACCCACATGCACACACACACACATGTACATAAGCATATGCACACCCACTCACATGTACATAAGCACATGCACACACACACACACAAGCAAGTAGCCACGCGAATCAGTCAGGAGCAATGTCGCACTGGGCAGTTGAGTAGGCGGTACACAAACATGAAGCAGACTGGCTATGCTCCTATTAGCAACAGCACATCGAAGAGCACCCCGCCCCCCCCCCCCCCCCCCCACACACACACACACATAACACCACCAGATGAACAACATGACCACCAGTCCAGGCAGCAGGATCAGCAAGAGTGCAGACAGAGATCTGCTTCACTGTCGGCAAACCAAGAAGCACTACCACAAAACCATCACTAGCAGAATAATGACTCACTCTCCCTGCGTCAGATCTAAGCAAGTCCCGTTGAGATACATGAGTCCCTTTGGCCCGCGAACATTAGCAGGGGATACACGCGCAGTCAGCTTCTGCAGTAGACAGTAAAGAGAACACAATTCTGGAGTTGAGGATGGTGAAGGCACTTGCTACCAACATCGCCACCTTTTACTCCCCAAGCCAAACAGATAGCCAACACTTATTCGCCAACGCCACACTGTAAAGTGCCTCAAAGATGGAGAAAACAACAAAACTCACAGAGATTTGAGACATACATGAACACATGGTGCAATTTTCCACACACTCGTGTGCGAGAATGTACCGCAGACTAAGCTGTAGTGTCTAACTTATGATGGCCGCGTACAACAAATAATGCGAGTGCTGGGTTAACAGGTACGGGCATTACCTTGCTGTTAAATGTTGAATAGTAGGCACTGCGATCATGTCACCAATTCATGGTCATGGCCAGAAGAAAGAGTACGAGCAGAAAAAGCACATATCCATACACCCGCACACACACACACAAGCCCAAACACACGCGTGCACGGCATGCATACACAATTCAGTCAGTGCTTGGTTTACCGGTACATCATATTATAGCCAGATAGCAAGCAGTGTAGCGGTCACGGGATAGAGGCGGGTATTCTACAAAAGGTTATTTGAGCAGCAGTCTACGGGATCAAAAGTGAGTTGTCACATGGTGTTGGTACAGTCAGAGTGCAAGTTTCCATCAGAGATTGCACAGTGTAGATTAGTCCACACAGAGTTTGCATCAGAGATTGAACAGTGTAGATTAGTCCACACATAATGGCGTTGATCAGACTTACCGGCTCACCACAGGTGCATCGACTATCTTGACTGATTTCGTCTCTGCCGCCAATGTACCGCCATGATTACCTTGGCAACGAAAGCAACAATACAGTAAAGCATGCAGGAAGGACATCGTCCGTCACACATCAAGGGCGTCGGAACCGCACCGGCCAGGGCGGCCATGGCCGCCCCACTTTTTCGGCCGTTTTTTTGTTTTTTTAGCACACTGCAACAAAGCGCGATGATCTCAGCGCAAACGTGGCAAATTCTTGTCCCCGACCGTGGTTTGCTGCAGAATCAAAAGTCCATGTCCACTGAAATGGCACCAAATGCCTGGGAATGCTTGCAATTGGCTTCAATTTTTGAATTTTTTCCCGGGGGAGGGTAATGTTTGTCCCCGATCGTAGCATCTTCTTGGTTTTTTGCAGAATCAAAAAGTCTTTCATTGTAGTTACCGTACACTGAAATGGCATCAAATGCCCGGAAATGCTTGCAATTGGCTTCAATTTTAGAAATTTTTTCCCGGGGGAGGACCCTCCGACCCCCCTTCCATGGCCGCCCCACCTCCAAAGTCGGTGCGACGCGCCTGCACATCGTCCACACACTATCACAAGCAGAGACCTACTAAGTAAGCTAATTCACATCGGAGAGTTTGGAAAGCAGGTAAACTAGGCACTACTTGCTTGGTTAATATCCTACTCTGGCCAGATGATCACAGACCACCGTCTCCACTGCACAATGTACATGTGCCGGGGGTGAGAGATGAAATCCAACCCCAAGAACATCACAGCTCTGAGACCGAACGTGCCTAGTACTACCAGCACTGGCCTGTGCAGCGAACACCACTGTGACTTAGTCCTCAAGTCCACTATCACTTCCCATCACTCAAGAACTACAGTGAAGCTTGGATTACAGGGTATAGCGACCCTCTAGCAGGCAATGTTGCTACATCCAATCGTGGCACACTGGAAGCACTGTGTGGCGGGCAGCACACTTTCACCGCTATTGATGATTTTGCTTTATCTTCGGCCAGTATGGATACTACATGTACTGTATTGCCTTTGTCTTTGGGCTGAGACATGCGCAAGTAAGTAGCCATACTGGGGTGTAAGCTAGCCTCTCTACTGGGGTGTAAGCTAGCCTCTCGCCACCGGGAGTACAGTTCGATCGACACCGGCTCGACTAAGTGACGATGACCCACACCTTCATCTGGCGAGCTGCGCCGTGGAGATTTTGCTGTCAGATGCGCGACCGCGTGGGGCTTGCATCTGCGACCTCTCAGTTTGCAGGCGAGCGCAATACACAAATTGCTACAGGAGAGCCGCGTTATCAATGATCAGTCGTTATTTTTGATGTCACTATCCAAAGCTTCACACGTCAATCGCCATCTACATTCGCATGCGACCATTGACTGCATCTGAAGCAAACCGATACATGTATAAAGTACACCTTACCAAGTCACCAACCATACATCCAGCGGCATCACTCTTATTTTTACATTCACCAGGGGGTTTAATATTGCTACAATTCGGACATCATGTATAATGGGGAGAGTACTCTCAGTGATTCAAAACCAGGGTACAGGGTGCAAAAAGTACTACACTGCAGTACATGTATGGGCACTACTGACATGGCACTATGTAACTTAGTACACACGTCGATTCAGTCTATCATGGTCACTCTGCTACAATGTAGGGTTCGCAATTCTGCAACAACTATAATTTTAAACGGCACGAGCTTGGTCTTTCCACGCTTTCGTGCTCCTGTTACGATCACCCGCAGGAAAAAGCCAAAAATAATAATAGTGGGATGCCATAGGATTGAAATGCAGGACAAATTCTCAGTGTCTGACCTCACCTATACCAACAGCTACAGCAAGTACAACGACAGCAATGGTCTGGAGTGTCGATAATAACAGTAACGCCATCACTTCCACTTCATCATCAAATCATCCCGACAATCACCAACAAAGCAACAACTAACTAAGTTACTTCTCAACAAGACCAGATTTACACAAGGGTCATTCAAAATCAAATTCAACAAAACTACGAAAGACTGATCATGGTGATGCAGAAGCTCGAAGGGCTACAGCAGGGAGTCGTAAAATACCGGTATTTTACGACTCCCTGGGCTACAGCTACATTTGTAGAGCTAGCGCGGTGGATAGTGACTAGTGAGCTAGGTGTGTACATGATTGTGTAGCATGGCTATGAAGCAGGGCTGTGAAGCAGGCTATGAAGCAGGGCTGTGAAGCAGGGCTGTGAGTGTGAAGCAGGGCTTGGAAGCAAGGCATTGAAGCAGGGCTGTGAAGCAGGGCTGTGAAGCAGGGCTGTTGTTGTCGTTGTTGAATTCTTTATTCTCACGATGGCACCATCGGCCGGCCATCGCCAATAAGAGATAAATAATTATGAGAAGGTGAGATGCTGTGGGTGGGGCTGTGGGTTATGCAGTTGGGGGGGGGGGGGGTGTTGTTGTTGTTGTTGCTGTTGTTGTTGTTGTTGTTGTTGTTGTTGTTGTTGTTGCTGTTGCTGTTGCTGTTGCTGTTGCTGTTGCTGTTGCTGTTGCTGTTGCTGTTGCTGTTGTTGTTGTTGTTGTTGTTGTTGTTGTTGTTGTTGTTGTTGTTGTTGTTGTTGTTGTTGTTGTTGTTGTTGTTGTTGTTGTTGTGGTTGTGGTTGTTGTTGTTGTTGTTGTTGTTGTTGTTGTTGTTGTTGTTGTTGTTGTTGTTGTTGTTGTTGTTGTTAGTGTTTCAAATCTTTATTCTCTTGTTGTTGTTGTTGTTGTTGTTGATTTTTATTTTACTTCGCAAGGCCAAAAGGGCAATGGTGCCCAATTCTATGGAAGCGAATTTCAAAGGGGAGAGAGCGGGAGGGATGAAGGGAGGGAGGGAGGGAGGGAGGGAGGGAGGGAGGGAGGGAGGGAGGGAGGGAGGGAGAGAGAGAGAGAGAGAGAGAGAGAGAGAGAGAGAGAGAGAGAGAGAGAGAGAGAGAGAGAGAGAGAGAGAGAGAGAGAGAGAGAGAGAGAGAGAGAGAGAGAGAGAGAGAGAGAGAGAGAGAGAGAGAGAGAGAGAGAGAGAGAGAGAGAGAGAGAGAGAGAGAGAGAGAGAGAGAGAGAGAGAGAGAGAGAGAGAGAGAGAGAGAGAGAGAGAGAGAGAGAGAGAGAGAGAGAGAGAGAGAGAGAGAGAGAGAGAGAGAGAGAGAGAGAGAGAGAAGAGAGAGAGAGAGAGAGAGAAAGGGGGAGAGAGATAGCGAGACACAGAGAGGGAAGCAGTGAGGTTAGGGGCATCGGAGCGTGGTGGGCGCATCAACGTGTGGTTGGGGGTAGCAGCGAAGACCAAATTGCTATGTAATTTAGTCTGATAAGCGATTTTGCAGCGACAGCAGAGCGATTTTACAGCGTCAACAGAGCGATTTTGCTGCGTCAACAGAGGGAACACAAAGAGTTCATAGACATAGGTGCACAAGCACGCAGAGAAGAATAAATGACGTAGTGTGTGGACGGGCAAAGTCAGACAGAGCATTCATTGCAAGGTGTAGGGGATGGAGACAAGCTTAAATTCCTCGGCAGCCTTGATCTCCCTTACACTCCCCGGGAGTGCGTTCAAGGCCAAGGCTGCCTGAAAGGCCAGGCGAGATCTGCCGGCTTCTGATTGTGCGAGGGGACAGTGAGGCCCCTGGAAACCTGGTGCCCGGTGGTGCTACCAGCTGATGGTGAGAATAGGTCCTGGAGGACACTGCTGGATTTCCCATTGACACAGCGCCACACCAGGACGAGCCGCTTCCGGGCATAACACTCGCGAACTCTGTCCAGGCACATCCGTTCGAGCAGAGGCTGGGCAGAGGTGTGAGGGGGCAAACCGTATAGTTACACCGCTCTCGCCGCTCGGTTCTGCAGGACCTGAACTGAAGGCGATCAAGCTGCGAAACCTTGAGGGAGGAAGAGAAGGCGTTAGACCCGTATAGGAGGTCAGGCATGATGACTGACCTCACATACTGGATGCGACTACTGAGGCAGAGACATCTGCGGGACCGCCACAGTGCTCCAATCTTCTGCACAACTTAAATTTCTTTCTTCGCAATCGCGTCAACATGGGGTCCCACTTCACAGTGGCATTCAAGGGTCACGCAGAGATGGCGCAGGATGGGCTATGGCCAGTATGGGCCGCATGGCAAGGACATCACGGGTGTACGTGCTAAACAGGATCGGTCCTAGGTCTAGGAACGAGCCCTGAGCTGAGGTACCGGTACACCAGATGAGCACTCACTACGTGACTTAGCAGCAACACTGTAGTGTATGTAGGTGGGGCCAATTCACACTTGCTGGGTTCGATCGCTTCGGTACATGTAGCTGCAGAACCAGCGAAGGGAGGCATTGCCCAGGCCGAGATCGAATAGGTCCCGGACCAGTTGGCTGTTTTATTTTTATTTTTTATGCAATGAATATAACTAAATGCGCACTCATATCACAACCATAGGGACGAATAAGGTATTCAAGAACGTTTTCTTGTCACAATTATCAATGGAATTCGTGGCTAAAGAGAATGATGAAACTACAATAGGATTAATTTTATACACTCGGAGTGAAACAACGAGGATACAAATAGTAAGAAAAATAGAACAAACTTAGGAAAATGTTGCACAGGTAATAAAAACTATACAGGTGAGAAATGATAGGAAATAATTCAGCAAGTGCAGTGTGACAATGTACATGTACATGCATGTGCAAGTGTGCGTGAGTGCGAATTTACTGGAATAGTGTAAGTGCGGTGACATGTTCAAGGCATTGAAGCAGGGCTGTGAAGCAGGGTTGGGAAGCAGGGCTATGAAGGAGGCCTGTGAAGCAGAGCTATGAAGCAGGGCTATGAAGCAAGAGTGTGAAGCAGGGCAGTGATGCGGAGCTGCGAATCGGTGTTATGAAGCAGGGAGTAGTACAATACCTACTACTCGTAATAAAGCCTCTTGTACGGGCAAAATGAATTGCACATATCATCAAACCTACTTCTCCCTGATATTGCATATTGTACTACTCCAGCTCCCTGCTATGAAGCAAGCTGTGGCTACTTCAAGTACAATTTTTACAAAGCAGGGCTGTGAATCGGGTCAATGAAGCAGGTCAGAACAGGGCTTTGAAACAGGGATGTGAAGCAGGGCTGGGAAGCAGGGCTGTAAAGCAGAGCTGTAAAGCAGAGCTGTAAAGCAGAGCTGTAAAGCAGGGTTGGGAAGCAGGGCTATGAAGCAAGAAGGGCAACTTGAACGAAGGAAGACTGTGATTCTGAAGCAGGGCAGTGATCATGGACGGTGGTGATGCGGAGCTGTGAATCGGTGCTATGAAACAAGCAGGGCTGTGACCAGGTGACTGATCGGGTCAATGAACCAGGTATGCAGAACAGGGCTTTGAAACAAGGATGTGAAGCAGGGCTGGGAAATTGAAAGCAGCTCCTCTTCATGCCCAGGTCACACCCCTATACTTTACACCTTAGCCACACAGCCCTTCTTCATACTCATAGCCATGCTTCACAGCCCTGCTCAGAGCGGTAGCCCGCGCTGCTTTGCAGCCATGCTTTATCGCCCTACTTCATACATATAAGTTCATAGCCCTATAAATTAAAATTGTAAGCAGGTGCATGAACAATCAGCTCTGTGAAGCAGGGCTATGAGGCAAGGCTGTGAAGAAGGGCTGTGAAGCAGGGCTGTGAAGAAGGGCTGAGAAGCAGGGCTGAGAAGCAGGGCTGAGAAGCTGGGCTGTGAGGCAGGGCTGTGAAGCAGGGCTGTGAGGCAGGGATGTGAAGCAGGGCTGTGAGGAAGGGCTGTGAAGCAGGGCTGTGAAGAAGGGCTGTGAAGCAGGGCCGTGCAGGGCTGTGAAACAAGGCAAGAAGCAGGGTTGTCACTGTGTGAATTAGGGAAGTGTTACAGTGCTGTGTAGCAGGGCTGGAAAGAAGTACATGTGTGTACCATGAAGGAGGACTATGGCGCAGGGCTATGGAGCAGAGCTGGAAGCAGGGTTGTCAAGGATGGATTAGGACCAGGGAGTAGTACAATAGGACTCAGGAGCTGAGCTGCGATTAGCTTCGCTTTGCAGCCTGCGAAGCGAAGCTCTGAAGCAGGGCTACCCAGCAGAAGGGTCAAGAAATCTAAAGCAGGGCTGGCAAGCAGGGTTTGAAACAGGTCTGTGCGGAAGGGCTGTGAAGCAGGGCTGTGAAGGAGGGTTGAGAAGCAGGGCTTGAAAGCAGGGCTGTTCACCTGGAGTGTAAACCAGGACTGTGATCTGGTGATTCGTGTGAACATGGTGAAGCGGGGCTGTGGAATACTGGTGTGGTGGCCTGGAGTGCTATGCAGTACTGTCTGTGAAGCAGGGGCTGTAAAGCAGTGCTTCCGCGGCGAAGCAGGGTTGTGTCTTGTGAAGCAGGGCTGTGAAGCAGTGCTTTGAAACAGAGCCGAGTGTAAAGCTGGGCTGTAGACCAGGGGTGTGAAGGAGGGCTATGGGGCAGAGATGGGTGAAGCTGTGAACCACGGGCTATGAAGCAGGGCGATAGCATGGCTGTGAAGCACGACGGTGAACAGGGCTGTGAAGCAGGGCTGTGGAGGAGGGCCATGAAACATTGGCGTGAAGAAAAGGCTGTGAAGCAGGACCATGATTCATGAAGCCCTGAAGTAAGTTGAAGGCTTTGTGGCAGAGCATGGTACTATTATGCAGTGCTGCCAAATAATTTTCGCCCAAAATCGTTCTTCTCAGCAAATGTTTTTCCACAGAATTCAAAATATCGCCCTAAATTCCATGAAAATTCGCTTCGTGCCCATGGTGACCGATATGGCACTCCGAAGTTGTCATGAATTTTGTAATGCATGAGTGTGGTCACACAGTGTACACAGTGTACATCATGCCATCCAGGCATGTTTATAATTACATGTATGTTACTTTGCACTTCAAAGCCAAGCTAGCCTTTTTAGAAGCACATGTACAGTGATTTGTGCCTTCAGTTGTGCTGGTAACCATGGTAACTTACTTGTGATAAGTGACAACACAGGACTTCTGCATAGGCACTACTAGTACTACTA